ATGATCATCTCAATAGATGCAGAAAAAGCTTTTGATAAAATACAACACCCATTCCTATTAAAAACACTAGAAAGCATAGGTATAAATGGAGTCTTCCTTAAAATAATAAATAGCATATCTAAAACCTTCAGCAAGCATTATATGTAATGGGGACAGGCTAGAAGCATTTCCAATAAGATCGGGGGTGAAACAAGGATGTCCATTATCACCACTGTTATTCAATATTGTACTGGAAACTTAGCTTTAGCAATAAGAGAAGAAAAAGAAATTGAAGGCATTAGAATAGGCAAAGAAGAAACAAAGCTATCACTCTTTGCAGATGACATGATGATATACTTAGAGAATCCTAGAGAATCAAGTAAAAAACTACTTGAAATAATAAACAACTTTAGCAAAGTTGCAGGCTATAAAATAAACCCACATAAATCATCAGCATTTCTATATATTACCAACAAAGCCCAACAGCAAGAGATAGAAAGAGAAATCCCATTTAAACTTACTGTAGACATTATAAAATATTTAGGAGTCTACCTCCGAAACAAACCCAGGAACTCTATGAACACAATTACAAAACACTTTTCACACAAATAAAATCAGATCTAAATAATTGGAAAAACATCAGTTGCTCATGGGTAGGCCGAGCTAATATAATAAAAATGACAATCCTACCTAAGCTAATTTACTTATTCAGTGCCATACCAATCAAACTACCAAAAAATTATTTTATAGAGTTAGAAAAAATAATAACAAGATTCATTTGGAAAAACAAAAGGTCCAGAATATCAAAGGAACTAATGAAAAGAAATGCAGGGGAAGGTGGCCTAGCAATTCCAGATCTTAAATTGTATTATAAAGCAGCAATCATCAAAACTGCTTGGTACTGGCTAAGAAATAGGGAGGTGGATCAGTGGAATAGGTTAAATATGCAAGACACAGTAGTCAATGACTATAGTAATCTATTATTTGATAAACCCAAAGACCCCAGCTTCTGGGATAAGAACCCACTCTTTGAAAAAAACTGCTGGGAAAACTGGAAAAGAGTATGGCAGAAACTAGGCATAGACCCAAATCTCACACCATATACCAAAATAAAGTCAAAATGGGTTCATGACTTAGATATAAAGGCTGATACCATAAGTAAACTGGGAGAACAAGGAATAGTTTACCTATCAGATCTATGGAGAACAGAAGAATTCATGACCAAACAGGAGATAGAGAACATTATGAAAAGCAAAATGGATAATTTTGATTACATTAAATTGAAAAGTTTTTGCACAAACAAAGCCAATGCAACTAAGATTAGAAGGAAGGTAGAAAATTGGGAAAGAATTTTTACAACCAGTCTCTCTGATAAAGGCCTCATTTCTAAAATATATAGAGAATTAAGACAAATTTATAAGAACACAAGCCATTCCCCAATTGATAAATGGTCAAAGGATATGAACAGACAGTTCTCAGATGAAGAAATTAAAGCCATCTATAGTCATATGAAAAAATGCTCTAAATGTTATTGATTAGAGAAATGCAAATCAAAACAACTCTGAGGTACCACATCACACCTATCAGATTGGCCAACATGACAAAACAGGAAAATGATAAATGTTGGAGAAGATGTGGGAAAATTGGAACACTAATACATTGTTGGTGGAGTTGTGAAATGATCCAACCATTTTGGAGAACAATTTGGAACTATGCCCAAAGGGCTACAAAAATGTGCATACCCTTTGATCCAGCAATAGCACTTCTAGGGCTATATCCCAAAGAGATCAAACAAATGGGAAAAGGACCCACATGTACAAAAATATTCATAGCAGCTCTTTTTGTGGTGGCAAAGAATTGGAAATTGAGAGGATGCCCATCAATTGGGGAATGGCTGAGCAAGTTGTGGTATATGAATGTAATGGAATACTATTGTGCTATAAGAAATGATGAACAGGCTGACTTCAGAAAAACCTGGAAAGACTTATATGGTCTGATGCTGAGTGAAGCCAGCAGAACCAAGAGGACTTTGTACACAATAACAGCTACGTTATGCAATGACTAAGATTGCTAAACTGAACCCTTCTAAGCATTACAAGGATCTAAGACATCTCCAGAGGCCTGGGATGGAAAATGCTGTCCACATCCAAAGAAAGAACTATGGAAGTCGAATGCTATCACTTATTTTTACCTTCTGTTGAGTTTTGTTTCATCTTTCTGATGGTTCCTCCTATTGGTTTTAATTTTTACTTACAACTCCACTAATGTGAAAATATGTTTAATGGGTATGTAAATGTAAAGCCTATATCAGATTGTGCACTGTCTTGGGGAGGGTGGGGGGGAGGAAGGGGGAGAAAAATTTTCAACTCAAAAGCATATGGAAGTGATTGTTGATAAATCAAAATAAATTAATAAAATTTTTAAAAAATAAATAAATGCATATTCCCTTCCTTTGCCTTTATTCTTCCTGCTAGCCTTAAGGTCCAAGAATGAGCTGTGAGCTCCAGAATCAGTGGTCAGAGAATGCTACTCCTTCTCCCTGAGCTGCAAGTCATGAGCTCATGGCCTTCTAGGCAAGCCTATGTATGGGATAGGAACTCCTCCTATACCAAACAGCTTCAGAGGCATCCTTATACTTTGTGGCTAGCAAGAAGAAGAGACCTCAGGGGTAGAAATTGCCCTTTAGTATAACGCCAGAGTTCCAGCTCAGCCAATTAAAAGAGTCATAAAGGCTGGCAGGAAGCAGCCTGAGGATGTCTACATCTGCTCTGTAGCTGGGGGAGGCTGGGAAGGAATATCTCCTATACTTCACATCCCCAAGAAAGTTGGAGTGGGGTCACTACACTGTCATGATCCTGGACACAAAAAATAAGAAACCTTATTTTAATTTTAATCGATTTTGCACACACAGGATTATATCAAAATATTTAACAAAAAAAAAAAGACAGTGAAGATTTAATGTCAAAGGTTTATTTTTTTGTTTTTGTTTTGTATTGTTTTGTAAAGTCCAAACCTCTGATTCCATTTTTATATGGAAATTTCCATGAGGAAATTCCCTCTACTAATGGAGCTCAGCACCTGTCTACAACTTCTGGGGTTAGACAGGGGCTCTTTACTGTTTTTGTGTTATGGACCCCTCTGGCAGCCTAGTGCAGCCTATGGACCCTTCAATTGTATTTAGGGCCTGTTGCCATGGCTCCCTCATTTGCCCTAAGGCCACCCCTGACAGACAGAAGCCCCTTAGCCCACTTTCCTCCATCCCTGCTCTGGCTTCTCAATTCCTGAAGCCTCAGCTCCAAATGAACAGCAAATACTTGACTTTCATGGACTCTACAAGGATTAGCAGGGAGCCTAAATAGGCAGGACTAGACTTGCCTGTTATTTCTCAGAATAATGTTTTCAAATGTCCAAAATAAAATCCATAGGAATAGAAAGAAGCCAATTATATCAAAATAGTTTAAAAAACAAGTTCACGGAGCTTGGCTTAGAGAGTGGCCTGGGGCACCAAGGTTATCCAACTAGTATGCATCCAACACAGTCTTCCTGACCCCAAAGCCAGCCCTCTATTCACTATACCACATTACCTCTCTCAAACCGCTCATTTTCAACTTCTCTTTAAAAGTACGCATTATAAAATAGAGGCAGGATCATGGGTTGAGTGATTCACTAGCCTGTTCCCCATCAATGCTCTAAGACCATACATTGGTGCTGCCGTACCTTGTGGGGATGGTTTCCTCACCTTTGAGTTCTCTAAACCAATGAAAACACAGGTCTAGTCCCTATTATGAAACCATAAATAAATTTCTTAAATCTTTAATTTTCTAATAGTTTTCTACATTCTCTCTCAAAGAATGAAGTGTGTATTTTGGTTGTTGGGTCATTTTTCAGTCATGTGCTACTCTTCGTGACCCCCTTTGGGGTTTTCTTGGCAGATACTAGACTGGTTTGTCATTTCCTTCTCCAGCCCATTTTACAGAGAAGGAAACTGAGGCAAACAGGTTTAAATGACTTGTCCAGGGTCACACAGCTAGTAAAGTGTCTGAGGCTGGATTTGAACTCATGAAAATGAGTCTTTCTGATTCTAGGCCCAGCACTTTATCCACTATGCCACTTAGCTGCTTGAAGCATGTCTGTAAGAATGAAATTACAATTTTCTATGATTTTGATACACATTTTAAAAAATACAGTGATAATTAAAATTAGTTAACTGTTTTAAACACTATACCACTGCAGACCTTTTTTTTTACCAAGTTCTCTGAATCAGGGAGTACTTTCATATACTCTGAGGACAAGACATTCTTTTTGAGGTTTATGTTTTTGTTTTTGTTTTTTTGCCTAGGCAATGGTCCCTCCTGAGCCTGTACTGGAAGTCTTTTCAGCTTTCTAGCATCTTCCAAAGCTTGCTTTGAGAGCCTAGGATCACTTCTGTACTATTCTCAGGTGTTGAAGGAGGAATTTAAGAGAAGAAAGCTTTTATGCATATAAGAAAGATAGTCTTCCTTATTGGACCTTTGCTCATTGATTCTTCCAGTTACCACTTTGTTAAACATATTTCAGACTTCAAGAAAATGTAAGTTACTGGGTAACACAGCTAGTAAGTGTTATGTGTCTGAGGCCAAATTTGAACTCAGGTTCTCCTGAATCCAGGGCCTGTGCTCTACCCACTGCGCCATCTAGCTGCCCCTTCTTTTTGAGGTTTATGACAGTGTAGTGGATAGAGTCCTGGGAATGTATCAGAAAGACATGTATTTGAATTCTACCTGTGACCTTCAGCAAATCACTTGCCTCAGGAAACTCCCTTAGAGTTGTCTACTAAGTCACAGAAGCAGAGGAAATTTCCATAGAGGGAGATCCATGCCATAATTGTTTTTGTTTTTGTTTTTTTAACCTAAAATAACCCACCTATTTTTCAAAAACAGATAATACAATGTAAACATATTTACAATATGAAATGCAGAATTCAGAATAATTACAGATAAATATTAAACATAAGGTTGGAGGGCATCTCAAAATTCAGTTACCCTCCTCCTCCAGTGATGTAGCTGTATCCTCCAGTTCCCAGTCCATAGCCATAACGTTCTCCTAGAAACACTGGTTCAGTTGAGTCATAACAGCTAAGCAGATTCCGGAGCCTGGAGATACTAAAATGTCAATGGTATGCATAATTAACAATTACTCCTTTCAAACACAATTTCTGGTTAAACTTTCATGGCTCCTAGAGCCAGCTGTGCAGTACATACTAGCCATATGAAAATTTATTATAACTGGGGTCCAAAAAGCTTATGGAGGCAATTAAGAAAATGATCAAAATCAGCCAGTGGTCATCATAGGGGACCGGGGGGGGTGGGGGGGCGCGGACAGCTCTATAGTGCTCTCTACCCTCTCCTTCCCCTCTTCTAAAGATATTTTAAAGACTACCTCTGCTATATCTTGCCCTCAAGTCCTGCATGAAAAATCAAATTAGCCAAGCTGCTTTTGAAATTACATAATAAAGGTTTCATATACTTCAAGGAGTTATGACTTCATTGCAGTGGACATTCCCTATTTACACTGATGTAGACGGCAACCCTTTTGATAATTTAGGAGACAGTTTTCAATTCACTACTTATATGGTGACAGTCTCCCCAAACTTTGTTAGTCTGGTTCTCAGCTGACAGACAACTGGTCCCTCCTGAGCCTGTACTGGAAGTCTTTTCAGCTTTGTAGAACCTTCCAAAGCTTGCTCTGAGAGCTTAAAATCACTTCTGTACTACCCTCAGGTGTCAAAGGAGGAATTTAAGAGAAGAAAGCTTTTATGCATATAAGAAAGGTAGTCTTCCTTATTAGACTTTTGCTCTAATAGATTCGCCAGTTACCACTTTATTAAACATATTTCAGTCTTCAAGAAAATAAGCTACTGGTGTGCTTAGAGTTCTAGTGTCAACAACAAAGACTGTCTTTGGGAATTATTCTGCCTTGGGGACCTTGGTCACACATAGTAAATACCCACGCTATTCATTACAGTACAGATTACTGTAATGGGTGTTACAGGCAGTAACTTAACTAAAAATAAGTGGTCCCCATAGGGAATACAAAAGGAATGTGAAGATCTCATGTGAACCAATGCAAAGCAAAGGGAATAGAACCTCTCTCTTTCTGTCTCAATACACACACACACACACACACACACACACACACACAGACTCTACTAGTGTAAAAAAAAAAGATAATGCTAAAAGACCAACAGAATACAGGTCAAATACAGTGGACAAAGTTGGTTCTCCATTACTGAGGTTAAAATCACAACATCCTCTTCTGCAAGCATTGTAAACTATATGAGTGAAAAGTTACATGTGCTTCCAGTAGTAATCAATGCACTAAATGGTTTCACTTTGTTATGGAAATGTACTTTTTATTAGGATATTGTTTATTGGTAAGTGACTAATGAGTCAAAACAAAATGTATCAAAATATTTTTCATCTTAAAAAACACACTATATGGCACCATGAGCATATGGATACTTAATATTTATGATAAAATTAATTGTGATATTTATATTAGTCACAATATCCACATATATGCAAACTAGAAAATATGAACAGAGGAAAGATTAGATGTGGAAGTATATGAACTAAGGCTTTGAATATTTGCCTAGATTCTGAATCTATACAAGGACAAGAATGACTTCTTACCTTATTAATGTATCATCATCCACAATGACTAACCAAGTTGTTGTGTCACTGCTATGATTCAAAAATCTTTCCAAAATAGCAAAGGTCTTTCCACAGTGACCTAAGAAAAAATGTCAGGACAACACACGGTGATTACCCACAGATGTAAAGTGGTAGATTCAGGGTTTGAACTGTGTCCTCTGATATAAGATGTTATATGAATGAAAACTGTAGTCACCATTATTATCCATGTACTAAGTGGAAACAAATAGAAAACATTTGGAGGTAAAATGACTTACGGTTTTTTTCTATTGAACGAAAAGCCTAAATTTTAATTAGACAAGTTATAATGCAAAGATGAAAGTTACATTTAGGATCATGGGATTTCAAGAGGAGAAGGGACTTTGGAAGTCATTTAATCTAAGCAATGCCTGACTAATACATGATTTTGCAACACATACAGAATACCCTTGCAATAGGTCCAGTTTTCTTGAGCTCTACTGACCAATTCTAGACAGCTAGGTGGTGCAGTGGATACAGTGCTGGACCTGGAGTCAAGAGGATCTGAGTTCAAATCCAGCCTCAGACATCAGTTGTGTGACCCTAGGCAAGTCACTTAACCCTGTTTGCCTCAGTTTCTTCATCTGTAAAATGAATTGGAGAAGGAAGTGGCAAACTACGTCAGTATCTTTGTAAAGAAAATCCCAAATGGGGTCACAGAAAGTTGGATATGATTGAAACAACTCAACAAAGGTCAAAAAAAAAAAAAACCAACCTTGACTAAAGCTTGAAATGGCTAACAATACAACCAATCATATTGCTCATTTTAATAGACATTCACAATTGGCAGAGCTGAAACTACAAAATTACTGAGATTGGTGCAGTCCTTATGTTTGATAAATGAAGAAATTATTATCTAGTTTGTATATTACTCGTACTCAGTTTCTTCTTTTATTCCATTGTATTCATTTGTAGCACCTTTAGATAGAGAAAGTAGGTAAAAATGGATGAAATTCAAGACATTCAACTGTCTGGTTTAAAAAAGAAAGTTCAATCATTTTAACATGTAATACTTTTAAAATATAAAATAGACATACTCAAAATTGAGTCATCACGTACACAATTGTACTAAACAGAGGTATGACCAATTATACAGCATATTATTAACCACAATTAAATCATATCTATAAGCAAACTGATAACTACAACATTGATCCCCTGCCAGGATTTTAATCATCAGAGGTCAAAAGCATACTCTACTAAACATAACTGAGAATTAAGTACGTTTTACTGTTCTTAGGAAAGTCATTGCCTGTTCAAGATCTGCCATCTATTTACATATGTGCTATTTATAAGAACAAAGAGAAATAGATTCAATAAGTGAACTCAAGCTGACATGCTAAAATGTAACACCTGGAGTAGGGATTTATAAAATATAAATTCCTTTTGAAAAAGAAGGAAGATGAGAGACTGATTTGACTGAAGGCCACAGTGCTTCTGGTCACAGGTATAAGAAAAATGCCATAGGGTTAGACCAGACTAAAAAGGAGAGATACCTTGCTTTTCTCTTCTATGTCCCCTGATCTGACTGGAAGTAGGAAAAATCTAGGGATAGACGAAGGCTTGGAAATCCTTCAATGTCATTTTCTCTGGGATTTCCCAAATTAGTCAAAGGTAAGTTTAGATAAAAAGCATTAGCTAAAGCACTAGGTTAAGTGCCTACTAAGGCATTCTGAGATAGAAGGAATAGGCCAGAACATGATGGCTTTCCAGGAGAAATTCAGGAAACACAGAAGCATTGATGTTCCCAGGCCTCTAAGAGTCCAAACATCTAATCCATTTATTGCCAAAGCTGATAGTAGCTTCAGTGCTCAAGTGGATCTGAAGTTCTCAAAAGGTACAATGTTAAAGGTGAATGTAACGGAGGTTTTGGACCATGGAGAAAAGGGGAAAATTAATGAGGCTGTTAAGAAGGCTCAGAGTATACCAAAGGTTAAGCTCTACAAAGATAACTGCTTATATTTCCATCATAGGTCCTTGTGTTTCTTTAGAAAACATTGTTCCAATATTTTCCCACCTGTTTCAGGTATCTATTAAGTACAAGCTGTGTAACATGAAGTTTTTTTGCTAATAAAATGTTTAATTGCCTAAGAAGGTTGGCTTTGTCTATATTCTGCAAGACACATTCACAGAAATAAATGATTAGCAAGTCTGAAGTAAGCAAGATAAGTGAGACTACCACCTGGTGGTGTCTCCCTAGAACTTCAGCAACATGATCCCTGGGGCTCAGAAACCATGGAGAGATACCAAAGCTGTTAAACCCACAAACTGACAGATAATGCCATAACTGCAATTTAATTCCTTGAAAAGTGGCAATCTAAGCATGGTGTATATATAGTACCTGATAACTGGAATGCCTAATAAGATCTTATTTTTTTCAAAAAATCATGACATGAAGAAATGAAATATATACATACTGTATAATATATATACACACACACACACACACACACACACATACATATTATATGTGTATGCAAAGATACAAACGTGTGTGTGTGTGTGTATGTGTGGTGTGTGTGTGTGTGTGTGTGTGTGCACAAACATAAAACTAATCCTTATATAGGTACAATTTCCATGTATTCCAACTATATTAATTATGGTCTACTGAAAAACTATTGGGAATATATAAATAACCTTTTGTTGTCGATGTAATTTGTTGTTATTCAATTGGTTTAGTCACATCTGATTCTTCACGATTCCATTTGGGGTTTTCTTGGCAAAGATACTAGAGTGATTTGCTATTTCCTTCTCCAGCTCATTTTACAGATGAGGAACTGAGGCAAACAGGATTAAGTAACTTGCCCAGGGTCATACAGCTAGTAAGTGTCTGAGGCTGGAATTGAACTCAGGTCTTGCTAACTGCAGGCCCAGCACTCTCTCCACTGTGCCACCTAGCTGGCCCTGTTGATGTAAAGGCAATGCTTAAAGAAACCATGGGGAAAGAGGAAAATGTGTAAGATAGAATTATAATCCACTTGGAAAATAAACATTTTCTGCCTTAATTTATCATATTTATGGAACAAAATACTTCTTACAAAGGCACTAATCAATCAGTGCTCACCTCTTTCTGTATTAGGCACTCCCAGATCAATAGTTGGAATTGAACTCTCTGCATAATCACTGTAGTATTCAATGAGTCTTGCCTGACCTTCCCATGTCTGCTTTACAATAGGTACTGGGGGAAAAAGTCACAGAGAAAAGAGATTAAGATCACATGCCTAAATGTGTAGGCAGCAGAGGCAACTCAGAACTGCAACATCTATAAGGCAGTAAGATGGTCACTTGTCCTTAAGTCTCCTAGGACCAAGAGTTTGTTTGTAACCCTGAGAAAAGCTATAGTCGAATGGTGATGATGGGACATGATTCAATCCCACTTCTTGATCAGCATTTTCATGTTCCCTTGAGCAATAAGTTCTGCCTTCATGCTGATAAGTGCATTTACTTCCTTATAAGAAATCCCAGTCCAATTACATCACAGTGTTATATGTAAAGCTCAAATTTTAATTAACCTTTTCCTTCCCCCACAAAATGTTAATTTAAAATCTACTTTTTAAAACATCATTTTTAGCTCAGCTTTAAAAAAAACTGTTATATTGTTCTGGCTAATCTTAGTGTCTTCTGGGATTATCCTTAATGTATTCTGTATATATCATGTCTGTGCATAGTTGTTTGCATGTTGCTTCCCCCAGTAGACTTCGAGAGAACAGAGACTTGACTTTTTTTTTTGCCTTTCTTTGTACATCCAGAGCTTAGCACAGTGCCTGGCATATAGTAGGTGCTTAATAAATACTTCTTGATTGATGGAACTCCCAAATCCACATATGCAGCTCTTGTCTCTTTTTTAAGTTACAGCACTACATCACCAACAGCCTGCTGGACATCTCTTGCATAAGCATCTCAAACTCAGGCTCTCCAAAATGGAATTCATTATCTCCCCCCCCCAAAATCCGTCTTGCTTTCTAACTTTCCTATTTTTGTTGAAGGCACTACCATACTTCCAGTCCCCTAGGTTTGTAATTTCATGTTTGTTCTCAAAGCTTCCTTGTCTCTCCCCTTTCCCCCATCCCATTTAATCAGTTTGCCAATCTTGCTGATTTTACCTTCACAACATCTCTTGCATTCATCCCTTTCTCTCCGCTCACAATTTGGTGACCTTGGTTCATTATCCTTTCTCTCTGTCTCTCTGTTTCTGTGTCTCTGTGTCTCTGTCTCCCTCCCTCCCTCCCTCTCTCCCTTTTCCCTCCAGTTTCCCCCCTGGGAATTCATTCTCCATATAGCTGTCAAAATGGTATTTCTGGAGCACATAACTAACCATGTTACTTCCTTCTTCAAAACACTCCAGAGGTTCCCCATACTCTGAGACAAAATGCAGACTCCTCTGTTTGGCATTTAAAGTCCTTCACAATCTGGCTCTGATAACACATCACTCCCTCTCACATATTATGTCAAACTTTTGCCCCATATATGACTCTTCATTTCCTACATCTGTACATTTGCATCTGCTGTCTCTCATACCTGGAATGTTATCCCTCCTCACCTCCAACAACTGATTGACTGAACTGCCAAACAATTTTTAGGTTCCAACGATTCTTGGATTCCCTTCCAGGCTCACTTCAGGTACCACCTCCTATAGGAGGCCTCACCCAATTTCCCTAGTTTGAGGGCTCCTCCTCCCCCAAAATTATTTCATACTTACCTTGTATATATTTTGCAATTGCTTATTTGTTTAAATGTTGTTTCCCTCCAGTGGAAAGTAAATTCCTTGCAAGCAGGGACTGTTTTGTAATTGCCTTTGTATCTCAAGCCCCTAGCACAATGCCTGGCACATAGTAATCTTTTAATAAATGTTTATTGAATCAATGGATGAATTAATATTAAAGTGATCAATCTTAACCCAATATTAAAGGAATCTCCATGCCATATATGGTCCTATGATTTTTCTACAGTCACAGAAGAGATAGTTCATGCATGTTTTCTGTAGCAAGAGGCAAATTAAATGAAAGACAAAGTAAGGTTGCTGTAAAAAATCTTCACTCTATTCTCTCCTTCCAAAACCCTGTGTAATTAAAATCTTAACCAGGGCACTGCAATGGCAGCTTATTTTTGCATATAATAAAGAAAATGACTTACCATGTAATAGGGCTCTCAGGAGCATGCAGTCACTATATGTTCACACTCTTGGGTAAGATATCCTCCATTATTGCATAACACTGGAAGAAGCTGTGAGGAAAAGTCAAGAATTTCCCTCAGTCTTCAACATGTGTCCTTGCAAGGTGTGCAAATTGTGCATTCATTTTCCTTGGCTTTTAGCCTTCAGTTCCTTTTTGCTCTAATAACTAATCAGGATGGGTGATTCTCCATCAACGAGATGATTCAAATGACACTGAAATAAAAATCAAGGTTGACTCTCCTCCCTGAACTCCTATATTCAACTACATTCTCCCTGCTGGAGTTTTAAATAGTGGTTGTCAATATCTTAGGATAGTTCCCTTTTTCAAATCCCCTTCTTTTTTTGCTCAAACTAGGAATTATTAGATACCAGAGAAGGCTGGAAATTGGCAACAGCCTGTAACAGGATTGATTTTCCCCCTACAATACATGAAATAGGAAATCTCCCAATTTAGCCAAACCTTAGAAAGGTAGGAACAATTGTTATTAGTGTCATTAAGGCATTTGGGACCTAATTTGACTGTTCAATGCTCTTTGCTAGAGAATTCTAAATCATACTGCCTGATTGCTGTATTTCTAAAGAGCTGAATGTTGAGAAAATACTTCTGCAGTTAATTACAATTACAGATTTCACTTTCAATCAATTTAATTTAATTTGATCAAATACAACAATTAAGTGACATCACGCTAATGTTTATGTAATCTCACACACTGACGTACCAAATTAACAGGAAGTGCCTCCTCAATAAGATTAGTTAACAAAATAATTAAAAGTAAGAGCAAAAGAAGGCTAAAAAATGCTTCTATTGTGAAAAAGCTCAGCTGTATAAACTATATATATATATATATATATATACATACATATACAACACATATACATATATATGTATATATATATATATACATATATGGCTTTAGAGGCCCCTTAACCAAAGGAGTAAAACATTACTCTGAAGTACACAACATACATATTTACCTTTGTATGTTTCACTGTGAAGACGACTTAAGCCAAGAATGAAAATAGTTCTCAGACATGCTATAAAGCTACCTTGCAATCAAATGACAGCCTTTGGGCCTATTGAGGAAGGTATTATTAATATTGTACTTGCTTATGATGGGTCTAAGTTGCGTTTACTTATCCACTTTAAAATATGATTGGCTTTTTCTCTATGGGACAGATCCAGGACCACAAGGAGGCACACACATACATACACATAAATGTATGTGTGTATATATACACATATATGTATTTATGCATATATGAATGTGTGTATACTATATGTATATATGATATATAGGAATATATATGCATGTATATGTATGTGCGTGACAAGAATACATACCAAATGTGGGTTATAATTCCACATTAAAGAGAAAAATTTCATGAAAGTGAAACCATTCTACCCCAATGATTGAAAGTGACATTTCCAATTAATCTGTATCCTCAACGACTTGAGAATCCACAAGGAATACTCAAGAACTAGCTTTCATCCACAATTGTTAATCTAATTACTTCTTCTAACAAGGAAATTGTCTTCCACCTGGTTCCTTATAACCCAAGCTTTACTTATATACCTATTTAAGACCCACACGCTATACTCTTCATTACCTGCCTACCCATCAGATTGTTCACTCAAAGACAGAAAACTAGGTAGGGGTTAATCCTAATGTTTGTTTCAGTATATTGATGTGGATTTTACTCTCTGATGCAAAATCACAGCAGTAAAGCTAACTACCTTTTTCTAATCTAAAACAGAACAAAGTATTTATCTCATTTTTTTAAGAAATTAAGAAGCTGTGAAAAGGAACTGAAGGCTGAATAAGTAGCAATTTTGCCTCTTAATTAGATGGGAGACAGCAGGAAGATGGCATATCACAACCCACCATTTAATGAGCAAAAACAGTGGCTGCTACCAGATACTTGAGACATGCACATGATCTGCATAAGAAAGGTAAGGTACAGAAGATTCTTAAAATTTTCTCACAGCTCCCATTACACAATGAAAAACATATGACCCAAGAGCATGGATCAAGTTGAATCAAAACCCCAGTGGTTTTCCTTACTTAAATAGTATTTTGCAGCATTTAATGCTACTTCTTACCCTTACAGTTTTTAAAAGTCTGTTTAAAAGCCTTACCCATGCTTGGATCTTAATGGAAATGCTGCTGTGTAGATGGAGTAGACAGGGATTTTCTAAGCTAACTTGAAAAGTATGTGTCAATAAGAATGTAATGTTTCAAGTAGAGTTACAGAGTATCACACATATAGAGAGTTCAAATAGGCTGGCTCCATCTAGCAGCTACACTTTCCTTTGTATTAGTAGAGAACAATCACAACATTTTTCTTTTGAACATTGGCCTTCCTCCTTTATTGCTAGTTTACCTCAGGAAGTAAAAACTGAATTCTACTTGTGTCAGTTTGTGTTCCATTCATGTCCATTTATGCCAAATGCATTAAAGGTAAGAATGGAATTTTCTTGAGAGCAGTTCAGCCTATCCTTTGAGGTTGTTAATATTTTATACAATCACTAATGGTTGCCAGAAAATGTGTTAGAAGAGTATACTGGTGCTTCTCTGATTAGGGGGAAGAGTAAATTGAGCTAGAAGTCAGAAGTTCAAATCTTACACCAGATACTTAGTAGCTGTGGGACCCTGGGCAAGTCACTTAATCTCTGTCTGCCTCAGTTTCCTGATCTATAAAACGGAGATAAATAACAGCATCCTCCTCTCAGAGTTGTTGTGAGGATCAAATGAGATGATATTTGTAAAGTGGCTTGTAAACCTTGAGGAACTATATATACGCTAGATGTTATCATCATCATCATCATATTAACATTGTTTAATACATAATATTGATAATATAATACTCATGAATAATAATAACCATAAGTAAGCAAATTGCTACTACATAATCCTGTACCTACTCCCCTAATGTTCAATCAGAGAGAGGAATTGATCATTTTTATAGTTTCTCTCTCCACTACTTCTAGGCCACTTCTGTATTTATCAACATCTCCATCAGAGTATATGCAAAGGCAGAAAAAAGATGACACTCAAGACCTAATTCTTCTGCTCAGAAGTGTAAAATTAGAGCTGGAAAAAGACTTCAGTGGGCCACCTGATCCAAACCACTCACTTTACAGAGAGGCCTCAGGAAGATAAGTGACTTACTCATGGTCACACAGGTAGTAAGCAATGGAGATAGATTATAAACCCAGATCCTCTGACTCTGGAGCTGGTACTTTTTCCAATTTAGCATGCTGTTTATTCGTAGCTCCTTCCTATTAATAATTTGTTCAGTCATTTCAATCACATCCAACTATTTGTGACCCCACTTGGGGTTTTCTTGGCAAAGATACTGGAGTGGTTTGACATTTCCTTCTCCAGCTCATTTTACAGATGAGGAAACTGAGGTAAACAGGGTTAAGTGACTTGCCCAGGGTCACACAGTTAGTAAATGTCCCGAGGCCAGACTGGAACTCAGGAAGATGACTTCCTGACTCCAGGCCCAGCACTCTATCCACTGTGCCACCTACTTGCCCACTAATAATTAATAACATCCAGCAAAACAGATGGCAAGAGAGGAGAGCCAAATATTCCTAACCCAAGTTAAGATTGTATTTGGGAGTTAGTTGTGGATTTCTATTTCATCCTGTATTTATTAATACAGAAAATAAAAAGTTGGCTTTTATGAGCTTCTAACTGCTGGCTTTCTAAATACCTGATCTTCAAGAGAGTATCCCTTCTTCATCAATGTCATTAAATGTTATTAGATGTGTTCCTGAATGCACATTGTACTGCTTTGTACTATACTATCATGTTTCTCATGGCTTCCTAGATGTAGAGCTGGAAATAACCTCAGAGTCTATCTAATCCAACCTCCTGATTTTATAGACAAGGAAACTGAGACAGAGAGAGACACAATGACTTGTCTGAAGTGACACAGGTCACTAGTGACAGAGGCATATGCGAAGCCAGGCCTTATGACTCCAAATCCAGCCTTTCCACTGTGCCACAGTGGTTCTGTCTTTGTTCTCCATGGCAATAGCTCATGGCCTTTAGGAAGAAAACATGGTGACTCTCCCAACCAGACAGTAAAGGGCTAGAAAGTCCAAAGCTCCAAGATTCTCCTAGCATATACACAAACTCAAGGGTCACAGGAAACTTAGAAATTCTTTCACATTAGATTATTTCTTTGAATAAACACATCACATTCAAATGAGTCTTACAACCGAAAATTACCCAGGTTTCAGAATAGTCACAAATTTTCACCTTTCTCTGTGACTGGAGCCCAATAGTTAAAAGAAATCAATACATTTGATTGCTTTAGGAGCTGAAGTGTTTGTTTGTCTACTCAATTCCCATAGTCATAGCAGTAAGCATTATTAGAGCTGGAAGTGATCATTAGGCCAGAGCATTCACTTTATAAATGAGGCGCCTGAGGTCTAGAGAAATTCAGTGACTCGTACTAGGTCACAAAGCATGTCAGTGGTAGAAGTGGGACCAGAATCCAGGTCTCCTGATTCCCATGCCAATCTTCTTTCCCTTGTGTCACACGCTTCCTGCTTTTATATTCTTTTATTTAGTAACTACTTTTTAAAAATAAAATGATCTTCAGGCTAAATTCAAGATAGTAGGTGAGGTTATTTTTGGGTTGTGTGAAATAGAGTTCCTGCCTTTCACTGCTTCCATATTTCAATATTCCACTCACAAAATGCTGTCTAATTCTAAGCTGTATTAATTTATTCCTTGTCCCCTTTATCCAGTCATCCAGAAATTTCTGATGGTGCTTAATTAGACAAAGGAAGGCAATAGTATGTGTGCAGGCAAGATACTGTCATGTGCCTATTTAGCTTCCAGGAGGAAGCATTTTGAATCTTTTTTTTAAAAAGCTCACATGAATAATTTCTTAATTGTTCTTAAGGCTTTCCAATGAGATGTGACATTCTGAGAACCTCCCAACAAAACATTGCATATTGTGACTGAATCATCTTCATTTTGCGACTCTAAGACTAACCTTGGGTTCTTGAATTATTTCAATTCATATTCAATTCAATTCATAATTCAAGAATTATGGTTCTGAAGGGATTTTGAGTATGGTAAAAGCTGTCCCCAAGCCTGGATTTGTAGGGCAAAGTACAGAATGCGCAGGAGAAGGAGGTATGAGGCTTCAAGAAAGGCCATGGGACTCCGTCATTTTCTGCTCAGAACACATGTTGGTGTGCCCAAACCTTCACTGGCCAGCCATCCAGACAGACAGCATAATGTAAAGAAAGGGGTCTGCTGCAATCAATGAAAGCTGAGAAAGCCTGACTTAGCAGTCAGCACTTCTCATTTCTAATTCAGCTGGAGATAGAGTTCTGGACTTGGAGTCAGAAAGACCTGGGGTTAGAGCATGCCTCTGATATGTACCAGCTGTGTGACCCTGGATGAGTCAGTTGACTTACCTGAACCACAGTTCCCTCATCTATTAAATGGGGGATGGTGACTGCACCTACTTCACAGTATTATTTTGAGACTCAAATGAGATAATACATGTAATCTATAAATATTAATATGCCACATGAATATAAGTTATCATTACCATTCTGTTGTTGGTGCTTTGCATTCTCAGAGGAGGATTAATCAGTCAACATCATTAAGTACTTACTATGTGCCAGGCACTGGAAATACAAATACAAAGACAAAAATGAAATAGTCCTTGCCCTCACAGAGCTTACATTCTCTGGGTGGAGGCAACATGTATACATAAAAGCATAAACAAAATAAATGCAAGGTCATTTTCAGGGAGAGGTACTAGAAGCTGGGGGCAGAGATAGGTCAGGACAAGCCTCATCTATAAGGAAGGACAGGACCATGGATTTAGAGCTAGAAGGGACCTCAGAGGCCATCTAATCCAGCCCCCTCATTTTACAGATGAGGAAACTGAGTCCCAGAGAGGTTAAATAATTTGTCTAAGGTCACACAGACAGTAAGTAGCAGGGCTAGGACTGGAACCCCACTTACTTGGTTCCAAGTCCAATGCTCTTACCATTTTTGCCATTATGTCATACTGCTCACCTCAAGAGCACTCCTTGGCAGTACAACAAAAAATCTGTACTTTCCCAAAGTATTCTCCATTCTCTGACTTAGTTAATAGGGTGCTCCCACTTTATAAAGCATCTCCCTTTCCCATCTTTTTTTTAATCTCTATTTCACACAGTAGCATAGTTATAAACGTTTTCTTTGGAAGAACATACAGTGAAATCTAGGAAAGGGGTAGATTAGGGACAGTCTTCAAAATTCTCATTGGACCCACTTGATTTTCATATTCCAAACTTTTCACAGGCAACACATGTAACATGATCAATTATTCTAGTAAACTACCAAGATTTCAGTGAGAATCAAAGGTTCTGCACAGTTCAAATTAATTAAATATTTCTGACATATTGTCCCCAAGACAGGTGTTGTCTAAACTTTCTAGCTTATTAATAAAAATGGGGCTTTAACAGGCATTTAAAGGAGCTGTGAATTTATATTTTGGTTTCATATGAATTCATATTAATAAAGTTTAACCCTTTTAGTTTACCTGCCAAAATGAGAAACACTGTTTAACGCAGATTTCATTGGTTGCCCCTTTTGTTCCTGTCTAATTCTTGTCCTTATAAAATGAAGAGCACATTTTAAAAATCCAATAAAAGTAAATGATTCAGAACATACTTCTGTCATCATGAAACTTCTTGCATGTTTTTACAGCAACAAAAACAGCCATCTCCTTCACTGGATTTCCCTATGAGGCAATAAGAAAAAAAAAGATGCATTTATAACTTGAAGTGTTTATTTAAAGTGTGCGTTATAAAATCAAGCATCAACTCTCCCAAACTCCATAAAAAGTGGCTTTTTTATGACAATAAGTCCAATCCTACTGCCCAACTAAATTTAGGTAATGAATGGAGGAATCATTTTAATCACAATTAAAGTAGCTCTTTTCTAATTTTTAATCAACAGGATGGAGAATGTGTAGAAACAGGGAACATTTACTAGAACATGCTTTAATTAGGATCATATTTATATGTCTAGTGTCAATAAAATTAATTGATTTGCTTAAACTTAAGTCTGTAGTTGGGAGAGTTACAGGAGTTAAGATGGAATAGGAGAAAGAAGACAAGGTCAAGAGTCAGAAGACCTGGCCCACTTTAGCTGGCTATGGAACCTTTAGAAATTTACTTAGTCTCTCTGTGGTCCCCCATTTTTTTCATCTGTTACAAATGTGTAGTTTGGACAAGGTGATCTTGATGATGATTATGATAATAGCATCTAATCATATGGTGATTTAAATTTTGCAAAGTGCTTTATACATATTATCTAATTTGGTCTTGGAACCAGACACCAACTCACCTGTCCTAGTTTCCTCATTTAGAAATATTGAGAATTCATTTGTGAAATGATCCTAGTCTGAAGCCTTTGGACTAATGTGAGAGAGAAACATCATCAACCTTGCTTTAAGTATCAATTCCAAAACAATGTCATGTTACCTTCTTTCTGATCAGCCCAAGAAGGTTGTTGTTCAGTCATTTTCAAACTCTCTGTGACCCCATTGGGTTTTTTGTTTGTGTGTAGTTTGCCATTTCCTTCTCCAGCTAATTGAGGAAACTGAGGCAAAGAGGGTTAAGTGTATTTAACGGGCACACAGGTACTGTCAGAGCTTAGATTTGAACTCAGGAAGATGAGTCTTCCTGACTCCAGGCCCAGCACTCTATTCACTTTACCACCTAACTGCCAAAGGGTTCCTCCTCAATAAGTAATTAAGGCAGTGAAGTGACAAAGGCAAGCTGCCTTTCATTGATCCATGGAAGAATAGGAGGAGCCTCTTCCCATATGCCCTAAAGAGATTAGGTTAATGATCCTCCTAAATCAGGGCTCCTTTGGATCGTATCCCTTTGAAGTCTAATGAAGACTCTCTCTCAGAATGTTTTAAATAACTAAAGGAAATATTACATTTCAGTTACACCTTAAAGAAAATTAAGATGTAATTTTTTTTTCCATCCAAATTCACAGACCCCTCAATTTCTCTTAACTGAAATTTATCTGTGGACTCTAGGTTAAGAAGTCTTGACCTAAGAGAAGGAAGAAGCCTCTCTGATTACTTCAACTAATGGAAATATATCTTCTGGGTTCACCTTTGGCCAGCTGGAAAAAGAGGACACTCTGGGTAGTAGTCAAAAGAAATGAATGGTTTCAGGAAATTATTCCCCTTACTAGCTGTGTGACACTGGGCAAGTCACTTAACCATGATTGCCTCACAAAAGAAAGGAAGGAAGGAAGGAAGGGAGGGAGGAAGGAAGGAAGGAAGGAAGGAAGGAAGGAAGGAAGGAAGGAAGGAAGGAAGGAAGGAAGGAAGGAAGGAAGGAAGGAAGGAAGAAAGGAAGAAGGAAGGAAGAAATTACTCTCCACACCTGTGCCAAAACTTAAATGACTGTTGTTCTAATAAAACAAACTGCTAACTGAAATGTTACCAGGACTCTAGATGAACCTTGTTCAGTCTTAACTGGCAAGTATTCCTTGTTCAGGATCCTACAAATTGGGACTTCAAAATTACTTGTGGTAGAGAGATGCCCAAGGTAATGAGATGAGTGTCAGTTTTGACATTTTTCTCAGTAGGCAAAAAATATGCTTACATTTAGAATAATCATAAATTAATACTTGTTTTTGATAGTTTTGTGTATGCAACACAGAGTATAGAATTTTCTTCCACACCTTTGAGGTAGGTGTTATTATTATCTGGAAACTGAGGCAAAAAGAAGTTGAATGACTTGCCCTAGGACATGCAGCTAGTATCTGAAGGAGATTTTAAACTCATGTTTTTTCCTGGCCCCAAGTTCAATCACTCTATTTGTACCATCTTAAGGTCTTTTTCACTCTCATATATGGAGTCTAGTTTTGAGTACACTTGATTTTAATTGTAGACAGTCTGCGTTTGCTAGAAAGGGTCTTCCTCTATCAGTGATTTTTTTTTCCTCCTTTCAGAATGAGTTTTCAATAAGTCAGGGTCTTACTATAGTTAATGAAATGCTTGATCCTATGAAAAACACATGAGCCCAAGTGCTCTTCTTAATTAGCAATAATAAAGTATTCATTGTGCACATTTGTCAAGGTGCTAAATGTGCATATGGTGTATTTTGCATTTTCTTCCTTTTAGATGGAAAGATGTGAAAGACAAGTATCATGACTTTTCTCTATGCTGTAAAATATCTCCTTAGCTCTTCTGCTAATAAGGCATCACTAGTACAAAGAATTTGGGATTTTGTCAGCATGGGAAACTCTCAGTGTGGGAACTCTGCTAATTAGGATCACAGCCTGTCTACTATTTAATAGGAAAATCCTAAGGCACCTGAACCTTAAATTCAGCAAATTTTTCAGGGTGACATGTCTACTAAGTTTCAGAGGAGGGACTAGATCTCTAGTTTTCCTGACTCCAAGTTCACCACTCCACCCCCTGCTGCCTCTGTAATAATAATAATAATATCTATCATATGGTGACAGGGATAGAAGTTACTATTTATAATCCCCATGTCTACTCTCTCCACATCCAACTGAACTCTCACTCTGCTTACAGACTTATCTTCTTTATTCTTGGATCTGGTCACATCATTCTAGTCCAAAGCCCTTCAACAGCTACCTATTACCCACCAAGTAAAGTTCTCTACATTCAAAGCTTTTCATGTTCAGGAGGCACTTAATAAATGCCTGAATTGAATATGGTGTTTCATTTGATAATAACAATAATAACTTACACTTATATAGTGTGTTAAGGTTAACGAAATGCTTTTTTAACAAACATAGTCATAGGAGAAATATCTTCATTTTATAGATGGGGAAACTGAGGCTCAGAGAAGTGACTTGCTCAGGGCATGCAGGTCCTAACTAGCAGATCTAGGGCTCATATTAAAGTCTTCTGATTCCGAATCTAGTGTCCTTCCCACTACAACCCATAACAAGTGCTCAGTAAATTTTAGTTGACATTAATGATTTGACGTAGAATCTGGTCCTTTGTCCCCCATCAGTGAATAATTACCAAGACTCATTGAGTCCGTAATGTTGTACAAGGTGCCAAGGTAGCATGAAGCACATTATATGAATTTAATACATAAAGAAATTTTGCCTATGATACTCACACAAAGCGGTAGAAAAGTATGAAACATTGTGGCACAATTGGTAGCCTTAGGAGAGCTCATATCATCTGTGCAAAACTCAGGCACCGGAGTAAGATGGGGTCCACTGCCTTTGTCCCAAATGTAGAGAGCGATCTATTATAAAACAGATGATTGGCAATGACTACAGGAAGATATGGCAATGACTACAGGAAGATAATAAACAAGATGTAAAGAAAGAAAGGACATAAAGCAATAATTATCTTGAGATTGGTCTCATAATCATTAGAGAATTATTAATTACATTGTGTTTATAAGTCTTATAAACAAACCAACATTCTGAGTACTAAAGGATTCCCAAGTGGGGATACATGAATTTTGTAAAGCAGTAAAACTCCCATCAAAATACTGTAGAGAAATATACAAGAAAATCAGTAGCCTCACCAGCATCACCAAAAAACCTGGTATCTACACCTGAGCTGCATTCTCTTTAAAAGAAAAATACATTCATAGGCAACCTCCACTCTTTGCCATCAGAAAGGGGAAGCAATGGCTCATGTTCCCTCCCACCACCATACTCAACACTTATTTTGCTTCCATTTTCTTTATTAAGGAAAATAATCTTCGAAATTGGGGACTATAACAGAAATGAAACTCAAAATAATCAAGGAAATGGTAAAAAAAAAAATACCTAGCTGCCCTTCATGAGATCAAGTCACCAGGTCAGGACAAAGTTTTCCCAAGACACTGGAAAAAACCATGCAGGCATGACTGCTGAATAAGTGTCATTGGTATTTGAAAAAAATATGAAGAGAACAAATGAGATAAGTGCTCAAGGACTGGAGCCTGAAATCTGTCATTCCCATTTTTCAAAAAAGATAAAGTGAGTTCTTCAAACTAGAGGTCAGTAGGCTTGACTCTGATTGCTGGAAGAGCATAATCTTAAAGGGAGGGATGGGTAACCCTTAGAAAAGGAGTCGATGACCACTAAGAGACAACATGGGTCATCAAAGATGGCTCATGCCAAACTAACATCCTGTCTTTTCTTGACAGCGTAATTAAACAGATTAGGGGGAATATGACAGGCACACATAGTATAGTTGGATTTCACTACAGGATTTTACCAAGTATCTCATGATATACTAGTGGACAAGATGAAGAAATGAAGCCTGGATTCAGAATTGGTTAAATTATACAGAACCTAAAAAAGAGGCGATTACTGGATAGACAGCAACTTGGAGAGATGTTTCTAATGGAGCACTCCAGGGTTTACACCTGGCTTTGATGAACAAGTTAGAAAAACAGCAAAATCTAATTAAGATGAAATTTGCTAGGTACAAATGTTATACCATATATTTGGATTCAATAATAATATCTAGCATTTATATACAGTCATTTTTTTCAGTCGTATCTGACTCTGTGACCCCATTTGGGGTTTTCTTGGCAAAGATACTGGAGTGGTTTGCCATTTTCTTCTCCAGCTCATTTCACAGAAGAGAAAACTGAGGCAAACAGGGTTAAGTGACTTGCCCAGGCACACAGCTAGTAAGCGTGTGAGGCCAGATTTGAATTCAAGTCTTCCTGACTTCAGGCCCAGCATTTATCCACTGTGCCACCTACTTGCCCTAAAATTTATATGGAGCTTTTAAGTTTACAAAATGCTTTAAAAATATTCTCATTTTATCCTCTCAACCACCCTGTGATGTGGGTGCTATCATTATGCCCATTTTGCAGAAGAGGAAACTAAGAAAGTTTAAACAACTTGCCCAGTCACATGGCTAATAAGGATCTGAGGCTAGATTTGAACTCAGGTCTTCCTGATTCCAGGTCCAGCACTGTATCCACTGTGCCAGCTAGCTGCCTGACTCAACCGGTGCAGGATGGGGGGAAACATTGTTAGACATTTTAATCTGGTCCAGCTGACATCTCTGCTGCAGGGCGCTCATACTTCTAGAGTTGGAAAGGACCTGGGCAGGGAGAGGGATAAGTGTTTTTATATAGCATCTACTGTGTTCCAGTCACTGTGCAAAGTGCTTCTTACAAATATCACCTCATCTGATCCTCAGTGTGGAGGCCATCTAATCCAACCCTTTTGTCTTACAGAGGAGGATTAGGAAAGTGAAGTGACTTGCCCCAAAAGGCAAGATTTAAACCTAGGTCCTCTAGGTGCAAGGCCTGTGCTCTTCCAACTGCAAATAACACCTCCGCCACAGTGTGCACACTTGGGGTTATAATTAACAGTCTGCCTTAAGTTGGTAGTTTGCATAGCAGGTAAAACAAAATGCTAAATGAGTGATAATCTAAAATCTGCCAGAAATCCAAGATCATATCAGTGAGCTCAGTAAAAATGAAATATAAGTCTCTCTTGGGCAGGATTGAATATATGATCAGAGAGATAAGGTTATAAACCTGGGTAATAAGAAGGACAGATAGATTTTTAAAAATTATTATTTATTGTATTTAACTTATTAATTGTTTTCTATATGCCAGGCACTGCAACACGTGATGGAAACACAAATACAAGCAAAACAAGACATTCACTTTTCTCAAGGATTTGTTGTTTTTTCAGTTGTATCTGATTCTTTGTGACCCCATTTGGGGTTTTCTTGGCAGAGATACTGGAGCAGTTTGCCATTTCCTTCTCCAGGTCATTTTACAGATGAGAAAACTGAAGTTAACAGGGTTAAGTGACCTGCCCAGGGTCGCACAGCTAGTAAGTATCTGAGGCCAGATTTGAACTCGGGAAGATGAGTCTTCCTGACTCCAGGTTTGGCACTCTACCCATTACACCAATGCCCCTCAAAGATAATAGGATATTTTTATATTATATATATATATATATATATATATTATATATATATATATATATATATATATATATATATACATACATATATATATTTCTATATATGTATACATGTGTGTGCATATATGTATGTATGTGTGTGTATGTACATGTGTATATATATTATATAAATATATACGCACATGTGTGTGTATATATAGATACATATGTATATATGTGCGTATATGTGACAACATCACAGCACCTTTGCACAACTCAAGAACTATAGTGAGGGATTTAAGAAGGGGCTTGGAGTGGAAGGATGCCCATATTGGGGCAAAGTGGGAAGAACAGCAGCAGACCCAGGAGAGAAGTAAGCATGGATGTCACGGTCACCTCCTGCAATGGTGGCCCCAAGTGGGAATGGGATGGCAACGCCATCAACAGAAATGGGTAAGTTCAGAGAATAGATCAATTTGGGGGAAATATAGTGTGTTCCATTTTGGACTGGTTGAGTTTTATATTCTTACAAATTGTCTAGGCAATCAATATCATGGGATAGGCACTCAGGAAAGAGATTAGAGCTGAATAAGAATTTGGGGGAGTCATTTGTATAGAGGTGATAGTTGAACCTACAGGAGTTGAAATGGGCTCAGGACATAGCCTTGAGAATGACTTCACTTATTAGGCAAGGGAAGAAGGATGATCTAGAAAGGAGAACTGAGAAGTGAGTAGACAGGTAGGGCAGAACCAACAAAGAGTTTTACAGAAACCAAAGGAAAAGAGAAGGGGTGGTGGACGGTCAAAAACTGCAGAGATGTCAAGAAGGATGAGGACTGAGTAAAGGCACTTCCACCACATGTAGTATTTTACCTCTGGGCTCATCCACAGTTTTAAAAACTCAAAACTGGATTGGACTACACTGAGGATTGATTACTTATGAAGGAAAACATACTAATGGAAACTTAGAATTTTTCCAGTACCAAAATCCTTCACAGATTTGATTATTCAAACATTCAACCCAATGAGATATCACTTACCTCATGTTTTAAATCGATTGTAAAGTCAGACTTCAAGGACTCACTTTTCAATCTTTTGGTAAGCCTGGAAAATGAAGGCAATTAAATTTACTTTCTGTCAAGAACCCAAAACAAAACAAAACAAAAAAGAGAGGTAAAACATTGTTTGGATTTTTTTTAAGTTTAAGTAAGATTATACAGAACTTTTTTATTATTATTAAATTTTTTATAAAGAATAAAAGAATAAAACAAAATTGTACTGTAAGGATGCTGAATTGATGAAAACACAAATCATTTACTTATTATCATAAGAATGCCAATGATTGTGTGGCACAAATGCTGAATTTTAAACACTTCAAAATGCCAGCCTTTAAAAGGAAGATCATTTTATCATACACAAAAAGACACGCTGGAGGCTCTGAAAGACAGTACACTGAGGTTTTGTTTTAAGCTGGATATGCTTCTACTGAATTATAGAAAAAAAGAAAACAGGAGAAGGGAAGGGGAAAAAAAGGATAAAGGTTGAAATTTCCCTCTGTCATTTTCGATAACTTCAATATAGCCTTTTTCTTTGCTTGTTTGGGAGATTATTGGGGAAAGCAAAAATTGCTTTTCTTTGAAGTGTTTTCTTGATTCCAAGCTGAGGTTCATACAATGAACTGGACTGTAGAAACACTGATCTGTTTTATGATTCCCATAAAGTAGAAGAAATTTTGTTTTGACAATCTAGTTATTTTAATAGTAGTATATACCATTGGCTTCATCTATGAGAAGTCATAATAAACATTTTAAACGTCTTCTACTCACTACTATCAAATAATATCTCAATGTATAAAAGCAGCAGCAAATTTGAAAATCCTACTAAAATGTTTGTTGTTCACTTGTTTATTACATCTTGGCCTTGTGTTTGGTCAAAAAAGATTTTTTTCTAAACAGATGGAAGATAAAGACATGGAAAATGGATCATAATTTATATTTTATTGAATAACAGTTGACTTACAGATGCTATTATAGGGACTCTATGACTTACAAATGACTGACATAAAAATCACTTTCAGATGTACCCTCTATCTTCCCCATCCTGAGACATCTCCCAGTTAACAAAAATCAAGCAATTAAGCTATTCAATGTTTTATTTACCCCTGTTCTCTTTGCTAAAAATAAAGTTCTTTCAACTAGAAAGGAAATAACAAATGAGTAATAGGGAGTCAATACCCAAAATAAGTAAGACGACAAGACAGCACACAGAGCCTAGCACAATTGAATGTATTCAGGTCACTTGGCCTATATGACCTTCACATTCAGGTACTGAAAGTACTGTCAGCTGTGCCACTGAGCCACCTTCAGCAGTGCTTGAAAAATCATTAAAAATGGGAAAGATACTCCATGATTAGAAAAGAGCAAGTGTCCTGATATTAAAAGAGAGAGAGAGAGAGAGAGAGAGAGAGAGAGAGAGAGAGAAGAGAGAGAGAGAGAGAGAGAGAGAGAGAGAACGAGAACAGAATGAATGGATAGAATAAATAGGACATGAAAACTACAGGCCAGTAAACTTAAGTTAAATATCTGAACATATTATTAAAGATTTGGTTACTGAACATCTAGAAAAGGAAGCAGTAATCACAAACGGTCAGTATGGTTTTATCATGAAAAGGTCATGCCAGACTCATTTTATTTCCTTCTCTGAGAGTACTTTTAAGCAGAAGGGAATGTTGAGGATAGAGTTTCCCTAGATTTTAGAAAAACTAATTGAATCTTAGACTACATTAAAAGAGACAGAGTTTCTGGGACTAAAGAAGTAATAGTCCCCCTGTATCTTGACGATTTGAAGTATTGTGTTTAGTACATTTCAGGAAGGTCATTGCTTAGCTGGGCAGCATCCAGAGGAGAGTAACTGGAACAGTAAAGAACCTTCAGCTCATGTCATAAGAGGATCAACTGAAGAAACCTGACATGGTTAGCCTAGAGACTTAACAAATAAAATGCCAGAATCACAACCCTTTTGTAAGTTGGGAATTGACAATAATCATGTTGAAACTATTTTATGGGGGCAGCTAGGTGGAGCAGTGGATAGAGCTCTGGCCTTGGAGTCAGGAGGATCTGAGTTCAAACACAGTCTCAGACACTTGAAACTTACTAGCTATGTGACCCTGGGCAAGTCACTTAACCCCGATTGCCCCACCAAAAAGCAAAAACAAAAACAAAACAAAAAAAACCCAAACTATTTTATGGCAAAGAATTCCAAAAGAAATCAGTGAGTCTTTGCTATATCTACCCACACAATAACCATATCCCTATAGTTTTACTTTTCTGAATTTTTATTAATTTTTAATTTATGGAATAAAACAAGCATTTCCATAATATAGTATAATAAAAAAAATATGATTGCACATGAAACTGCAAATCTATTATGTACAAATTGCTATTCCTTTTTAACATATAATAAAATTATCAGGCAACTTTCTTTTTTTTCCTTTTTTTCTTCCCTCTTTCTCTCGCCCTGCCCTAAAGCTGGCTACCATTAGACACAAATATGTATATACATGTAAAATCATTCTGTACATACTTCTATTCATCAGATCTTTCTCTAGATACAGATAGCATCTTCCTTCATATGTCCTTTGTAGTTAATTTGGGTATTTATGATAGTCAAAATGACTTTGTCACTCAACATAGTTCTTAAAACAATATTGTTGTTACTGCATATGATGTTCTCTTGGTTCTGCTCATTTCATTCTCCATTATTTCATACAAACCTGCCCATGTTTTTCTAAGGTCATCGAGCTCATCATTTCTTAAAAATGTACATTTTTATAACTCATACTGACAACAACTCTAATCCATCCTTAAACATACATACCCAGAATTTTTTTTTGTCAAGTCTTGGAATAAAATCCAAATCAGATCTTACCTATTAAAGATGGTCCCCCCCAAATATATTTAATATGTATCAAAGAATGTTCTGAAATTTGGACTCCATGCCAAGGGCCTTTGAAATCTGATAAGACCGTTGGAGAGTAGCCATTTAGCTCCAAAAAGTGCTCCCTTGACAATCAGCATTAGCAGAGCTCAAACCAGAGATTTTTCAATGGGGTGTCTAGTGCCCCCTCAACATCAGTAAGCGGGAAATGTTTACTGAGTCCTGGGGTAAAATGATCATCGAAGTCCACTTAGGTTTAGAGGCAAGTAAGTGGTACAGTGGAGACGGAGTGCTGGTCCTGGAGTCAGGAAGAAATGAGTTCAAATACTGCTTCAGAAACTTACCAGCTGTGTGACTCTACACAAGTCACTTAACCTCTGTTTGCCTCAGTTTCTTCAACTGTAAAATAGATAGAACAGCAACTACCTCACAAGTTCATTGTGAGGATCAAATGAGATGATATTTGTTAAGCACGTAGTGCAGTATCGGACACATAATGGGACAAAGCACGTACTAGAAAATATAGTATATAATAGGTACTAGAAAAATGTTTATTTCTGTCCTCCCTCAGTCATATGGATGAGAGTGGAAAGAATTGGGAGAGGAAAGGAAGTGAAATTATGGCTGTTATCATTGTATGCCCAGGAATTTTTGACACCAGTAGTTACTATAAAAATGGATATTCTTTAGACACTACCAGAAAGGAGGAGGAGCCAAGGTAAGCCCCACATCACAGCACCCTGAAGCCAGGAAGCAGCTGTCTGGTTGAAGACAGTACAGCATGCTGGAAAGAATCCTGGATTTGGAGTCACAGGCCCTGGGTTCAAATCCCAGATTTCTCCCTTTGTACCTTGGGCAAATCAGTTAATCTCTTTGGGATTCAGCATCTTTCCAGGCCTCAGTTTCCTCATCTATAAAATGAAGAGGCTGAATCAAAGGATCACAGATCAGAGCTGGCAGGGACCCCGGATGCCATCTTGTCCTCCCTTTTAGCTCTAAATCTATGGGCCTATGACACTCACCAAGGACACAAAAGACAAGGTGCCCAGCTTCTATCATCTCTGGGCTCTTGGCTAGTCAGCTACGTATTTCTGCATATGCCTAGTCAGGAGATATGGATGGAGTGCTGGACTCAGAGTTCAAATCCAGTTTCTGATATTTCCCAACTATGTGACCACTTCCTCTCTATAAGCCTCGGTTTTCTCTTCCGTATGATGAGGAATAAACCCAGCTGTAAGGTCTAGCTCACAGGGCTATTGTAAGGATCAAATGAGTTTATAATGTATGAAAAGCACTTTGCATACTTTAAAGTACTGTACAAACACCAGCTAGTATAACTATGTAGAAATGGATTCTTTGGCATCTTCTAAGGTCTATATTTCCTGTGTTTAACTTACAGATCACCTCAGTCATCTGTCAGACTTGAAAGATATTACATTAAATTAGTTTTTTTTTAAAGATTTCAAATGCGTTTTTTGGGTTCAATTTTATTTTATTTCCAAAGTATTTATATTAAGTTTCTTATCAGCTAGTTACTAAAGCTCTGTTGATCTGGCAAGAAAATTTACAATTGGGTCACAGCCCTCCCCAAACCTCCATTTAAGGAGGGCACCCAGGCCAGCCATCTTTTACTCTTTCTCAGTGACAGATTTCTCCATCATGCCACATGCCAGATATCCTCCGTCCCCACAGACTCTTCCAATTTCCTTTTGTGTGTTCTCTTTCCCTATCAGACTGTAAGCTCTCTGGAAGCAGGAACTCTTTTTCTTAATTTGTATCCCCAGTGTTAACACAGTATCTAGTACATAGTAGGTACTTAACAAATGTTTACTGACTAAATTACCTTACATTCATACAATTTTCAAAGTGCATTCAATGGTATATCTCACAATCATTATAACTACCCTTTAAGGTAAATATAGAGAGTATTGTTAGCCTCATCATATAGGGAAAAATGAGACACAGAGAGGTCAGAGGGCAAATAAGAGGCTTAACTGGGATTAGAAGCCAGGTCTTTAACCCTTAAGTCTATTGCTCTTTCCCCTCTACCACAGGGCTGTGACCACAGTTAGCAGTAACAATTTTGAATACATATATTTGCCAGAGTCAAGCGAGAGGTGGAACAATTTAGTCAAGTCATCAAGCATTTATTAAACATGTAATATGTGCCTAACCAAACAATAAACATTTTTTTTTAGGTAATTGGGGTTAAGTGACTTGCCCAGGGTCACACAGCTAGTAAGTGTCAAGTGTTTGGTCTGAGGCTGGATTTGAACTCAGGTCCTCCTGACTTCAGGGCTGGGTGCTCTATCCACTGCACCACCTAGCTGCCCCATAATAAACATTTATTAAGCACCTTCTATGTGCCAAGCACTATGCTACTGCTCACACAGTATGCACTATAAAAATAACTTTGAAAAATCTTAAAAATTCTGATTAATACAGTGACTGATCATGAATCCATAGGCTAGATGGTAAAGCAGGCTATCCATACCTCCTACTAGGGAGATGATGGATTCAAGATGCAAAGTGAAACACACATTTTTAGACATGGCGCATGTATGGATGTTTTCCCTGATTATACTTATCTGTTACAAGGATTCTAGTTTTCTTATTTTTTTTTCACTTGGAGTCATGGGTATTTGAGGGGTAGGGGAACTAGTGATTCTGTTGTAAAAAGAAAGCAAGAAAAGGGAGCCAGTTAAGCATTTTCTAAAAATGCACAAAAGAGAACAGAAGGCCAGTAGGAAACCCAGACAAGCAGAAAAGCTTTGAAAGTAACAATTTGTTATAAGCTTTTAAAAAGCATACTGTATGAACTAGTGATTCACAGTTTCACATATAATCCCTTTTTTCCTCTTCTCCTTTGAAAATAAAAACATTTCTTTTTGGTAATCTGGTATTAATAAGTTCATAATTTTAAAAATCCAAGTTTTTCTTAAATAAAAGAGATTTAAACCAAAAAAAGCCAGAAAATCATAAAACACTACAAAAATACAAATAATTTGCTTGGACAAAAATGCCATTTGTTAGTCAATCTACGAGCCATAAAGTCATGGAACTGTTGTACAAAAAAAAAATGCCCATTTAATTCTTACTTGTTTATGAGTGGAAGACTAAGGGCCCAGCCAGCAGCAAAGTCAGGAAATTTGAAAATTGTAGGATCTTCAGCAAAGGCATAATGATGAATGATTGTTGATTGTTCATCATGTAATGCTTTTCCTAAAAACCACTCCTGGAAGAAAAATGCACAACATCACTGAATCATCCATTACATTATTTATTCAAGATAAATGATAGAACAAATACTTACATGCTGGGAGAAGGGATTATGGAACTTGCAAAATGTCTGCTCTTACAGCTTACTAAAACACTCTTTGTTTTATAACATCGTAAAGAAACAGTACTCTGGTCAACAGAAAGTTAGCATATATGGATTACCAATTTTTTAAAAAATCAGAATATAATAATACAGATCTAACACTAAAACCACGCAAACATAATTTACTCTTTCTTTGATGATTCAGAAATTACTTTAGGATTTGAAATATGCCTCAAAATAATCATTATCAACACTGATTATGCTTATTTTTTTTCTTTTTTTTGTTCTAGATCTGTGATTTCATTGCTATAGGGAACTCCAGGTAAGGAAACACTACATACCAAAAATAAATAAGCAGTTGTTCTGCAACATAGAGTCTGGGATAGCTGTCTAGAGAAAGGAGAAGTTATGTCACTTGCTCAGGGTACCATAGCTAGGATGTATCAAGAGGTAGGACTTGAACCCAGGTCTTTTTGACTGTGAGGACAGCTATTAATCTATTATGCCACACTGTCAGTCATCCTTATCCAATAGGTGTGCAAAAAGCATTAGTTAATGGAATGGTAGATAATAGAGAGTTTACTTTGTTTTAAGAAATTTTTGAAGAAGGAACTGAATCATGTCAATCTTGATATTCACACAAATGAAACCAAAAGACAGAAGGAAGTTGTAACTAAATGGAAGGCAAATCATGGAATTGGTGGAGTTGGTTTTATTGTATGGCCAATGGCAACAAGAACCATTTTTTCACTGGACACTTGGGTGATTTTGTATTGTGGTGCTTATGATAGGTATTTGCAAAAGCATCATCATGAAACTGATTGCAGCTTATGCACAATCTGTTACAGAGGGAAAAGAGACAGAAGTTGTACCAAGAACTTGAAAAGATGATACAAATTATATCAACATATATTTCAATACTCAGTGATATCAACACAAAGGTGGTCATGGATGAGGATAACAAAAAATATGCTATATTTGCAATAAATCCAAAATAGATATATAACCTAATACATTTCATAATTGAAATATTAGAATAGAATCAGATTGTATACCTTTTACAGTTATAGGTAGGAGATGAATTCTTAACCTAAGCCGGGGAGAGGTAATTTAAAAAGATAAAAGAGATCATTTTGATTACATAAAATTGAAAAGCTTTTTACACAAACAAAATTAATGCATTTAGAATAAGAAGGGAATGGGATTAAATGGGAAAAAAATCTTTGTATCAAACTTATGTGGCAAGGGTTTGGTATCTAAGATATATTTATAGACAACTAACAAAAATATATATGGCCAAAATGCAGTTTCCCAATAGATAAGTGACTAAAGGCTATGAACAGTTCTCAGAAGAATTACAAAATTCTCCAAATCACTTATAAGAGATAAGGAAATCAGAACAACCCTGAGGTTTTACCTCACACCCAGCAAATTGGCAAAGATAAGAAAAAACCAGGAATAATCACTGTTGGAAAGACAGGCATATTATTTCATTGCAGCTAAAACCGTGAATAAGAACAACTATCTGAAAAGGTACTTTGGAATTATACAAATAAAGTAGCTAAAATCATACCCCAAAGGAGATCTAATAAAAAAGAAACAATCTATCTACATGACAATAGTTGTAGCAGCATTTTTTGCGATAATAAAGAACTAGAAACAAAGTAGATGCCCAATGATTAGAGAATGGCTAAATAAATCATAGAATATGACTATAATGGAATAGTACTGGGATCTAAGAAATAGCAAAAGCCTGAAAAGACTTGCATTAAGTACACACACACACACACACACACACACACACACGTAAGGAGACCAAAGAAAACAATATATACAATAACTACAACAATATAAATGCAAAGAACAGTGGCAAAACTACAGAAAGTGACTGTTACATAATTACTAAAAAACCAAGCTTGGCCCCAAAGAAGAAAAAGGAGAAGGCACATCCCCACACTCCTTTGCAGAAGTGGGAGTATCCATGGATGGAGAACATTGCATACATTGTCAGATTTATTTTATTTACTGATTGGTTTTGCCTATATTTTTCTCTTATTCTTCTTTTCCTCAAAAAAGAAAAATCTTTTCTTTTTTTAAATAAAGAATCACTCTCCGGCAGGGATCAATATAAGATTATGAACAGTACTGTTGTTCACTGATAGTGAGAATCACTAGATTCAACTATGCAAAGATCATCCTAAGAGCATTTAGCCGGTCAGCCAATCAGCCAAGTAAGCATTTATTAAGTACCTACTATATGCCAGGCAGTGTGCTAAGCTAAGCACTGAAAGGCAAGATAATCCTTGCTCTCAAGAAGCTCAGTCTAATTTAAGGAGGAAACTAGAAGAAGCACAACAAAGATTTGTGTAATAAAATCTTTTCATCATTAAGAACAGTGAAGCCATCACATTTAAATCCTAACATCAAGGTCTTAGATATTCTCCTTGAGGAAGTAAAAATGGCACTTCAGAAAATAAACATGGTGAAAGTAGTTGGATGAGACCAGATACATATATACAGAAAAGGTCTATGTTGAAGGCAACACAACAAAGGGCACTGGGAGATCAATTTTTAAGGTAGCTGAAAGAGAAAGAGATACCAAAGCTGGGAGAAGAGAGGGGACCTACTTTTCTTCATTTATACTATTCATATAACACTGGCTACATTTTTATTTGCTAGAAAGGTCAAACGACTGATGAAGAGAAAGGGATTGTTAACACAAAATAACACTCCTTCACACTGAAAACACTAAACCAATCAGATCACTGTGAAACTAAAAGTTTTAGAGCTGAAAGGGACCTGGAAGGTTATCTAGCCTTCCCATCGCCTTTTACAGATGAAGAATTAGCTCAGAAAGCTGAGTGGTTTGCCAGGGATCACACAGGAAGGAGTATCACAGCCCAGAAAAGGACCCAGGTGTCCTTACTCTCAGCCCAGCATGCTTTCTACTGCAGCGTTTGACCCTGCACTTTCTGTTCTTCTAACATTTTAGACTGAATTGAAATTTCAAAAATCTCTCAAGTTTAAAAATAAACCTCACACCTATAGAATGCTTATTCTTTAATGTCATTTTAAAAATAAAACACTCTAAATTTTTGAAAGATTCTGAAAAGCTAAGGATCCTGAGCAGATTTTCTTTTATATTCCAATTTTCATGAACTTATCTTGAACTTTTGAAATCATCATTCTATTTTTTTCACTAAAAAAAAAAAGCAAGGTGAGTCACCATACCCCTTACAGAATTTGAGCTATGGATAACAGAAGGAATGATTTACAGATGAAAAAAACATTAAGTGAAAGTTAAAACTCCCACATTCAAAGAGAACCTTGAGAGGTTTTTAGAAGGTTTTTCAGTGTTCTGTTTTGTTTTTATAGCAAACACAGACAGCATACCACATAATAAAAGCTTTACATGAAACAAGAAAGACTATCTTTCCTGGCATATACTGGATTGGGGCCTCTCCCCTCAAAATACCTAATATTTAATTTGCATGTACTTATTTGTGTACATGTTGTTTCCCCTGGTAGCATGTAACCTTCTAGAGGGCAGGGGTTATTTCATTTTTGTCTCTATATTCCCAGGGCCTAGCATAGTGCCTGGAACTTATAATTATGCTAGCTGGTACAGTGGTTAGAGCACTGGGTCTGGAGTCAGGAAGACCTGAGTTCAAATGTGCCTTTTAATACTTACTAGTTATGTGAACCTGTGCAAGTCACTTAACCTGTTTGCCTCACTTTCCTCATCTGTAAAATGGGGATAATAATAGCACCTACTTCCTAGGGATGTTGCAGAAATCATATGAGATAATAATTGTAAAGTACTCAACACATAGTAAGCACTATATAAAGGTTAATTACTATTATTATTGTACAAAAAGAGGTAACTGGTTCTAGCCAGTTCTCAGCACATAATAAGCACTATGTGTTAGTTATTATTATTATTATAGGGCAACAAGGTGGTGCAATGGATGATACAGTGGTTAGAGCACTGGGCTTGGAGCCAGGAAGATCTGAGTTCAAATCCAGCCTCAGACTAGCTGTGTGACCCTGGGCAAGTCACTTAACGTCTATTTGCCTCAGTTCCTCAAATGTAAAATGAGGACACACTACAGGAGGAAATGACAAACCACTTCAGTATCTTTGCTAAGAAAACCCCATGGACAAAAAGTTCATTGGGTCATGTAGAGTTGGACATAGTTGGACACGATTGAACAACAACAAAATTATTACTAGTGTGCAAAATAAGGTAACTGGTTCTAGCCCAAAAAATGTGCCATGCAAATTGAAATGATGAGACTACTTCAAGAGATTAGTAACTGCTAGTTGATTGTCTTGACCAATCTGAAAATCCTAGGTAAGATAAGATGGTAATTCTTTTCCTCTTTGAGGAAGTTATTGCTAGAATGGAGACATCATTTTACACCTATCAAATTAGATAAAATGATTGAATGGGAAAGCAACAAATGTTGCAGGGGATGTGGAAAAATTGAGACACTAATTCACTGCTAATGGAACTGTGAACAGATTCAACCATTTTGGAGAGCAATCTGGAATTACACCAAAAGACTTATTAGACTGCCTATACCCTTTGACCCAGCAATACTACTGATAGGAATGGGATCTGGACCCCAAATAGGAAAAGCCCCTGGACTTTTCCACATGGCCCAGGTCCCTGGCTTTCCTCTAGGGCACCTGGCCCTTCCCAGTTAATCTTTTCATTGTGGCCTCATTGTCTGCACCTGCCTCACCCTAGACCAACATTCCTCAATTCCATCTAGGCCCTTTCCATGTGGCACAGGTTTGTGGCCCAGGTCCATGGCTTCAAACCAAACCACTGGACTGAGAACCTGAGAGTATCAGGCTGAGTGTGAGATAACCTTATAACAGTCTGACCTAACGGGACTTAGGAGGTCAGGCCTGAAAAGTACCTCCAAGCCTTCCTAAGTGGTTAGAGAGTAACCCCAACTGCAGTGCAAGAAGGGGATAGGGAGAGAGGGAAGGCTTACATACCTTCCAGTCTTGGCTGTAGAAGAGTTTGAGATTAGGCAGTCTCCTAATCAGGGAACCAAAATTTTGAGGTCTAGGGGTGCTGGGAACCCAAAATTCAAGGGCAAGTGACATGAGTCCTGCCTCAAATGAATTCCACCCAAGCCTTCTTTTAGCCAAAGATAAGGTTTATTAGAACACTGGTCAGGGTGGTCAAGATTCTAAGAATCCGCCCTATTGGCCAGATTTTAAGGATCTGAGCCTTTGTCACGAGAATACAACCAGGCCAGAGTCTTAAGGAATCTGAGTGATTTAATGAGGACAAGATGGACACTTACATACAGTGGTCAAGAAGTGGCCAATAGCTCATATGACTGGGAAATAATAGAGAAGGACCTGAAAGAGCTAGGTGCCCCAGTGGTCCAGATCTCAAAGACATGGTCTTTTCCTTTTTGGGATTCAGATCCCATCCCCACCACTAATACTAGGTCTATTTCCAAAGACGATTAGGTAAAAAGGAAAAGAACTTATATGTTGTAAAGTATTTACAGCAAGTCTCTTTGTGCTGGCAAAGAACTAGAAATTGCGGGTATGCTCATCAAATGGAGAATGGCTGAATAAATTGTAGTCTTTGATCATGTTGGAATACTACTGTGCTATAAGAAATGATGAGCTCAATGGTCTTAGAAAAACATGGACAGACTTGCGCAAAATAACGAAGAGCACAATGAGCAGAACCAACAGAACATTGTACAGAGTAAGAGCAATATTGTTTTAAGAACAACTTTGAGCAACTAAGTAATTTTGACTATTATAAATACCCAAATTCACTACAAAAGACATATGAAGGAAGACACTATCTGCATCCAGAGAAAGAAGTGATAAATAGAAGTATGTATAGAATGACTTTATATATATATATATATATATATATGCATATATATATGTGTGTATATATATGTATGAATATGTATATATGTATATATATATGTATGTATATGTATATATGCATCTAATGGTAGCCATGGGGGGAGGAGGGAAAAAAAAAGAAAAAAAAGAAATTTACTTGATAACTTTATTACATATTTAAAAGAAATAGCAAGTTGTACATAACAGATTTGCAGTTTCATGTGCAATCATCTTTTTTATTATATTATGTTATGGAAATGCTTGTTTTGTTCCATAAATTAAAATAAAATAAATTAAATTTTAAAAATAGAATGACAGCTCTCATTCATCCTTACTATTACCAAGTTAATTCAGCAAATATGGATTGACTACTAGGCACAAGGTACTAAAATTAGAAGAATGATAATGAAAGATAAATTGAGCCATTCCAAAACTTTCAGATTTAAAATGCTGATTTTTGTTATGCTGATGAATCTGCCCTTAATCACTAGTCCTTGAGGTATTATTTCCAGTACAGGTTTCTGTCTCCAAGGTGCAAAGCCCTGTGTAATGCAATCAGGAAAAAGAAAATCCTCCTACTTATCTCGGCCCAAATAAATATGACTAGATTCCAATGTGTGGCCTGGGGAAAAGAGACATTGGGACAAGTTTAAAATGCCCTAGCAAGCCTAACCCAATTCTGGATCATCATCAGTTCCAAAGAATGCCCAAGTCAATTTGGTCTGAGTGAAATTCCCACTAATCTGGACCATTCTAGTTTGTTCCTAGAAAGATCCCCACCAGGTAGTGGTGGTTTAAAGATACCTGGATATGATCCCAGAGATCTTAACTGAGGTCAAGATAGAGAATGATGATGATGATGATGATGATGGTGATGATTTAATGGGATGTCCCAGTGAAGACTTCTCAGTGTAATTAAGGTAATGAGTTCAGAAGGTAGTGTGAGAAATGAACTCTCAGAAGTGAAGGTTCCTCAAAGGGTCAAATAATTCTTGATTATTACTTTCAAAATCCTCCCCCACTCAGACCCTGTTTTTAAGCACTTAACAGAAAGAATAAGCCCTGCCCCACCCCCAACCTGAGCCCTTTGTCCTTGGCTTTGAATTTGGTACCTAGAATGTAGGCCCCATCTCCCTCTCTTGCTCGTGCGCTCTCTCTCTCTCTCTCTCTCTCTCTCTCTCTCTCTCTCTCTCTCTCTCTCTCTCTCTCTCTCTCTCTCTTCCCCCCCCCCGCCCCACATGTATCGGAGGAGCAGACAGCCATCTAGTGAGATTGTAATAAAGGTAACCATTGCTTTCCACTTTGAGAAGTCTCTGAGTTTCATTTGGGTTTGGGTCGCTGTCCCACACACGATGGTGGTGGTGGTGATAATGGTAATAGCAAGCCTTAATGAAGTATATTAAGTACTTCCTATGCATTAAGTACTGTGCTATGTGAATGTAAACTATTACTATAATATAGCTTTCAGGTGTGCAAAATGCCATTACATATATTGACTCCTTTTAATCCTCACAATAATACTGTAAGGTAGGGGCTATTATTATCTCCATTTTCAAATGGGGAAAGTGAGAGTATGAGAAGTTAAGTGACTTGCCCAGGGTCACAGAATTAAGTGTCTAAGGTAGGACTGCAAGTCCAGTCTTCCTGACTCCAAACCCTTAGGTGTTAATTTAATGCTGTCAATCAAAGCTGTATCTACTAAGAAGGATATATCTACACACACCAAAACCAAAAAAAGTAAAAATTATACTTAATGGAATTAGAATGACCAAATTACCATGCTACCATGAAAAGAAATAGTTCATTTAACTTTATGTTTAAAGTAGATGATTTCTTAACTCTGGATTACTGCATTTGTCTAATACTCCCAAATTTCCAATATATTTTTAGTATGCCTTCCATTTAAAAAAAAAAGAGTATCATATAAGTCCTCTCACTTTGTAAGCCATAAACCATAAGAGGAAACTTTCATATTCTTCACAAGCTCTTCACAAAGAAATTCTAACAACATAGCCTCTGAGCTTACACATTAACTATTTCCAATTCTTTACTACTTGGAATAATCTTTTAGAAGTGTTATTTACTAGCTTCCCATTCCCATTCTCATTAATCAATACTAAACCCTCTTCAGGGTTTTCCCCTGGAGGCTTAATATTAGCATTTCAATTTTCCTTTACCTTAGATGGGTCATATCTTCGGAGAGTTTCTAAGAGTTTTGGAATGTGTATCCTTGTTTCTTCTTCACAGAAGAAAATCCATGATGAGTTTCTGCTAAATGATGTGGAAAAACTAAGAAGAAACAGTTTACAATAAGCTCTACTCCAAACTGGACTTATCATAAAGCTACAAAGCTGTGAGTAAGAAGTGGAAGAAATGATGATGAGATACTATAAGAGATCTCTATTTTCTTCATATATTTTTCCTTTTCCTTAGACAGTGGTCCAAAGAGGAATCTTACCAGCTCTCCAAATTCACTTTCCCATACAAATCCTTCAGAAGGCAAATAAGAGAATGTTCACATACTCAATTCTGGAGCTCATTTGTTTACCTTTGAAGTAAATCACTTTTAATTTAATGCTGTGACAAACTTTCCAAGCCTGAACCCCACCCCCTCCCATTCTTCCTCCACCTCCGCCCCAGGTAGTCACCAATTCTGAAACTTAGAAGAGTACCCAGCAACCTCTTAGCAAGGAAAACTAAGTAACAAGAGCATATTCAGGTGAGAATGTCAGTAATTCAGAAAGATTTTTTTCATACATACTGAGGTAATAAAGGAAGTATGGTCCATGCTCCTTCATGCTTATCCAGCAGATGAAGAAGAAGAACTCTGGGGAGCTCCTAAAACACACGAGAAGAAATAAGTCAAAACACCTGCCCACTAAAATATTAAATGTCCACTTAATTTAAACACAAACATTTCTTGAGAAAGGTGATTTTAATGTTTCATGGGTTGAGTCAAAGTCCCTTCTTTTCTCCATAGGGTCTACAGGAAATGATTGTTCTGCAATTAAATGTGTGTTGTTCCCCCCATTTGAGCAATGAAACACTAAGCATTTCCAATTGGTGATTCTTCTAAACTAGAATCTAAGATAGCTAGGGTTGGGGAAGAGGAAGGGCCACAGAAGGAAGGGTTTCCAAGGGTTATAGCTTGACAAGAATTAATCCTATGAAGAGAGAAAAAAATTCTTTCAAGGAAATGAAAGTTCAAGTATTCTACAAGCATATATACATAAGAAGAAATAAGTATAAATTCACCTCATAGACAAATAAATCAATACTTAAATATTCTGACAGTGAGATAGCTAATTTTGGGGTAATACAGAAGAAAAGAACTATATGTAGGATTTCTAAATGCCATGAATTGGTAGAGAAACAGTAAAAGTTTCCAAATAACACATACCTGTAGCCAGAAGAATACAGATATACTTTTAATTGTATTAATATTTAATTGAATGACATTCATTTTGGAGATAACACAATTCTCCTCTAAGTAACTAGAGAAAGAGACTAGAAATCTTATCATAAAACCTCCTAGAGGAGCAATGAGCAGACTTGGTGTTTCATTACTTGATATTCTTCAGCCCTCCCAATATACTTTATTGCCACAAGTTTTAAACAGGAAAAAAAAACATGTTCTCCTAATCGTGATAGACAGGAAGGTGAAATGATAAACAACCCACTTTGCCAAGCACATCATCATTACAGAACCACAGGGATTATCAATTCAGCCTTGCAGGTTGTATACTTTCAATTATTTTCAGAAGAAAAGGTTGACTCTGACAAAGCTGGAGATTTAAAAGTAAATGAGGCTTGTTTCTTGGCAGCTACTTCAGCATTGCTGCACAAATTAACATAAGAGTGGTCAAAGATTAGATGACCACTTAAAATTAAGTGGCAGTCTAGGAAAGAAAAAGAAAGAGATGAACCAATACTTCCCCAAACTCTTCCCTCTTCATAAATTCCCTGCTGCTGGCATCCTCCCAATCACCTAGGCTCATAATGTAGGGGTCATCCTCCATTCCTCACTTTCTCTCACCTAGCCCATATCCAATCAGTCATCAAGTGCTTTCATTTATACCTTTGTAATATCTCTTGTGTATGCCCCATTCTTCCTTCTAACACTGCAACCTCTCTGGTGCACCTGGACCCTTGCACTAGTCTACTGGTAGGTATCCCTTAAGAGTCAAGTCTCTCCCCTCTCCAACTATCCTTCCTCTAATCAACAATCAAACTGATTTTCCTGAAACAAAAGTCTGACCGTATTTCACTCCTCTGTTCAAAAAACTCCAGTGACTTCCTATTACTTCCAGAATCAATTAGAAAATCCTGTGTTTGGCTTTTAAAGTCCTTTATAACCTGGCATTTCCCATCTTTCCAGACTTCTTAAATCATATTCCCCTTTATGTATTCTGTGAACCAGTGACACTGACCTTGTTCTGTCTCTCATGTCTGACAATATTTTCCTTCTTCATCTCTCCTTCCTAGTTTCCCCATTTCCTTCAAGTCTTAGCCAAAGTCCTACCTTCTGCAAGAAGCCATTCCTAAGTGCTCTTTCATCTTAATGAAAGCTGTAAGCCTCCAGGTGGGTAAAGAGAGATGGCATCAGCATCTGATGCTCCCTACTGGGGGCCTACAAGTAGTCATAAACAGAGGCTGTTTTTGGTTCAGTTGTATCTATTTTTTCCTGCTTTTAGGTAAAGGAGTCTTAGAGATGGCTGCAACCTTGTGAGTTTCAGAAGGTCAGAAGAACAAGATGCCAGAGATTCAGGACTCTGAACCAGTGCTTACCAGCTGCTGATCCTGGGGTACCAGCCCAGTCTTGAGAAGTGATTGACTTGACCCAGCCTAGTAGCAGATGAGCCCACTGAGATATGTCCTGCAGAAAAGGAACTATTGTGCCAGTGTTTATATGTATTTGGAGGAGAACTTGGTGGGACAAACACTTTGCAGCAACTTGTTTAAGTTTGAGCTCACTATCCATCAGGGGTTGCAGGGGAGAATATGTCCTGGGGTTTGGGGGGAGGTTTTTGTACTTTTGTTTTCCCTACATCTTTTCAGTAAATATCCCTTTTAAAAGATAATTGATTTTACCTAGTTAAATTGATAAAATCGAGTACTAATCAATGGTATTGATGAAATTGAGGAAATATTAACTGTCAATTGATATTGAAAATAATACATTAGAATGGGTATTCAAGCTGAGAACATTAGAGCAATGGTTCCTAAAATTTTTTTATTCCATGAACCACTTTAACAACAATTTTAAAATATTGTAAACAATTGTGGAGGTAGTGAACCCTTAGGGTAATTTGACATACTACTCATAATAAACTTTTAGATTTATTATCTAAGTGTTTTTTCAATAACTATAAACTTTCCTGCCAAAACACCCAAATTAAAATGTACATTTATATAATTAAAATTAAAGAATATAAGATTTTATTCTACCTAAAATTATGAAAAGTCCAAATATAAAATTATAAAACAATGACAAATATTTTATGTGAGCCATCCTGTAAGAATTAAATGAAGCAATCCAGTAAGACCTTATATGCTTACTATCATCTGCCAGAGTTCCTACTAAATTTTTTCATTTTACAAATTTTTTGTCAAATATTAATAACATTTTAATGAAATAAGTTACTACTTGTAAAATGTTTCACATAATATTATGATCAATTTGATTTCAATGTTCGACTGTTTTATTTGAATGAAGGTTTACAATATTTGGCTCAATGTCAGACAAAGATGGTCTTCAATCTGGTGCTTTACTGAGTTTATTGCTGTATTTTGCTTTAAAACAAGAATAAAATGAAAATGCTCACTCATGCAAATATGTGGTAAAAAACAAGCTCTCTTACTGAGAGACAGAACCTGAGCAAATATACAAAGGAAAAAGAAGGAATATTTAATTTAGAGAACAGCTAGTCATCCAGGGTGGTTGTGGTGAAGATAAATGATATGAAATAAAGAGTAGAAAAATTACTTGAAGCCAGATTGTGGAGAGCCTTAAATGTCAAGCTAAATGTATATCTTAAGGGCAGCTAGGTGGTGCAGTGCACAGAGTGCTGGACCTGGAGTTAGAAAGACTCATCTTCCCGAGTTCAAATCTGGCCTCAGACACTTACTAGTTGTGTAACTCTGAGCAAGTCACTTAACCCTGTTTGCCTCAGTTTCCTCATCTGTAAAATGAGCTGCAGAAAAAAATGGCAAAACCACTCCAGTATCTTTGCCAAGAAAACCCCAAATAAGGTCACGAAGAGTTGGAAATGACTGAAATGACAGAACAACAACAAATGCATATCTTAACCTGGGGCAAAGGAGAAACACTATAGATTTTTGAGCAGGGAGGTAGTATCCTCTCTAACAGAGGTTATTTTAGAAGGAGCCTAGTAGTACTTTACAGAATATGGGCCCCACAGGCCTTTGAGAATTCACTTCCAGACAACTATGAAGCACCAAAGGATCTCAGACCATAGCAAACTTTCTTGATAATTACATCTTAAAAAGTCTGAGAATATCAATAATGGAACATACTCCCTCCCCTCTGTAGCACACAGGTGACTTTGGGTGCAGAATGTGGCACATGCTATTGGTTGTTCTCCCTGTGTGAGTTAGTTTTACCTACCTGTTTTTCTTTTATTTTTTTTGTAAGGATATAGTTCTATTGGGAAGGAACAGGCATTAAGAAGTAAAGACGGTATTAAAAAGGCATCAGTAGAACTATTCCCAAAGGGCTATAAAACTGTGCATACTCTTTGACCCAGCAACAACACTTCTAGGTCTGTATCCCAAAGAGATCATAAAAAGGGAAAAGGACCCACATGCACAAAAATATTTATGGCATTTCTTTTTATGGTGGCAAAGAATTGGAAACTGACAGGATGCCCATCAATTGGGGAATGGCTGAACAAGCTGTGGTATATGAATGTAATGAAATACTACTGTGCTGCAAGAAATGATGAGCATGATGCTGAGTGAAGTGAACAGAGCCAGCAGAACATTATACACAGTAACAGCCACATTGTTGGATGACTAACTTTGATAGACTTAGCTCTTTTCAGCAATGCAAGGATCTAAGACATCTCCAAAAGTCTCAAGATGGAAAATGCTGTCCACATCCAGAAAAAGAGCTATGGAGTCTGAATGCAGATCAAAGCATATTAATTGCTCTCTTTCTTTTTTTTTCTTCTTTCTCATGGTTTTCCCCATTGGTTCTAATTCTTCTTTACAACACTCAAAAATATGTCTAAAATGAATGTATATATAGAGTTTATATCAAATTACAGGTCGTCTTGGGTTGGGGGAGGGGAGAGATGGGAAGAAAATTTAGAACACAAAATCTTATGAAAGTGAGTGTTGAAAACTAAAAATCAATAAAGTCATCCCTTCATTTCCAAAAAAAAAGAAAAGGCATCAGTAAAACATTTTTAGGAGTAAAAATATAAGTACTGGGGAAAACAAATCATATCAGCTTTGTCATCCACCACTCACACAAAACTATTTTTAAAACTAATCAAACAGAAACGACCCATTGTATCTAGATTGGCCCCTGCTTCCCTTCGAAGTCTGGAAATTCAAACAAGAATGTCACTAACATCTTTCCTGTAAATTCTCCTTTCTCCCTTAACAAAGTCACCTCCCTAGTCTGGGCACTCATTATCTCTTGCCTGATCTACTGCACCAGACTTCTAATTGGTGCCTCTGCCAAATGTTGCCTCCCACTCCAATCCATCCTTCCCTGAGCTACCAAAGTGATTTTTTTCCTACCATGTCACACCCCCTATTTCCTTACCAAATAAACTCTGGTGGTTCCCTACTTATTACCTCCAAGATCA